GAATAATCAATCCAACAAGCGGCATGGCCCTAGATGGTGGAAAATTGAGTCCCGAAAAGGATATGGGTGAGGGCTCCGTCTAAAGAGGAGCATCTGTACTATTTCGGAGGGCCGAGAAATTTGAGAAGGCCTGATAAAAACATGTCTGCTATCGGTCCTAACGAATTGTTGGCCGAAGATTTTCTGCTGCTGAAATTGTTTGGAAAAGAGGGCACAGGGAGACGAGGCCGGGAAAAATATATTCCGGCCACCTGGCTACCCTGCTACCATTATATCTTCCAAGAGAAGATTTTAGCTGCAGTCGGCCTCAGCTGAATGTACCGAGATGGTGAGAATCTCGGCTGGGGCCGAAGGCTCATACTTGTCTTTTCTCTTTTGTTATTGTTGTTGTTGTTGTTTTTTTTTTTAACTCCTTTCTTTTTGGAATTTCAGTGCTGCATGAGACGAACTGTGGCTTGGATTATGGACGCCTGGGGATCAACGCTGAACGACGCATAACGAGGAAGAGACCCCCAATCACTGCTCCATCAGAAAGAGCCCCTTCATTGCGTGTCTCTGAGTTTGACATAGTCAAGGCAGTTGAATATTCCAAGCAGAAGCCTTGGTATCTTAAGCGCGATCCATTGTTCCTTTTGGGCCCCGAAGAGCAGGCTATTGTTGCTGCTGCTGTTGGAAGAGCCAAAATTCTTGCAGACAAATCAAAAGTCGAGGGCGAGCTCGATTCCGAAGAAAAGGACTTGCTGAAAATTTCGGTAAGCACAAGTTTATTTGTTGCCTTGTTTTGCTTTAAATTTCTCTAAAGGTTAAATTTTGGCATTTAGATCCTTGCTTGAGTATGTATGTTATACGTAGTTTTTTAGCATTTCGAATGTATGTTGTGTTCTGTCTGCTCAGTTTGTGATAACTTAAACAACTGTAGAACTTTGGTAGCCTTTTCTCCTATGACTTGCTTGATTTGCATAAATTTGTTAAGTATAAGGCTAAGCTATCTTTTGTGTATGTGTTTTTCATTCCTGCTGTAGAGTGACGAGCCAGTGGGAAAGGTAAACAAAGAAGCATCTTCATCTCATCCTTTTTCTTCAGACGAAGAGGACGTCAGGATGGCCAAAAAAAACAAAGGGCCGAGCCGTTGTCAACCCAGAACAATTTCCTCTAGAGGAGTCCTCTCCTTCACCCAAGAGGTCTCGGCAAAATGAGGGTTCAACCGAAGTGGCTAGAAATAGAACTCCAGTTCCTTCTACTGTTCAGAACCAAGAAGAAGAGGTTCTGCAGAAGATTCCTTCTCCAATACCTCGTCCTCCAAAACTCTCGGCACAACATTTTGCCTATGAAATCCAAAGACAGGCTGATGCCTTTATCACACACGTTGAGGACGACGATGTGTTAAATCTTGAAGAGAGGTCGAAAGGTCTCAAGGAGGCTGAAGAACGTGTTGAGGTGCCTCAACAGGAAGATGTACCGTCTGCTTTTGTTGTAGAGTCGTTCAAGACCTTTACGTCTAATGAGATGGGGTTTGACTCAGCCCCGTTTGTGGATGTTCCTGATGCTGGACAGCTTGATGGAAAGCCAATATTCGGCTGTTGAATTTTTTTGGGGACTTATCTGGCTTCTCCGAGCTGGAAAAGGCTAAAATCTGGTCAACTCGGGCTGCTGCTGGAGCGTCCGAGCCATTTGTAAGAGTGATAGACCCCGTCACTGAAAATTTCAAATTGTTGATGCAGGTAACCTGCTTGAATTGCTTTTGCTCGAGTTTTTTCTATCTTTACTTTCGGTTCACTTTATTTAAAGGTTGATTTTTAAGTATTTGAGTTCAAATTTCCCCCAACTGTTTCTTTCGGCTGAATCTTTACTGTTAAATATGTAGGCTGTTCATAACCATGTAATCACTGCTGGTTTGAACGATGAGCTGAAAAACAAGGTTGAGACGTCCGAGCATCTTGCCCAAATGGCGGAGTTGAAGAGAAAGCATGCTGAACAAGCGGCTTCGAAAAGCCGCTCTCAAATGGAGCATATGTCGGAAATTTTGCGCAACTTTTGTTAAGAGATTGAGCAGTCCATCTTCCCTCACATTAGGCAAGGTGAAGCGCTAATTCGTTCTTACGGGGCTGACGACATTCCAAGCTTCAAGGCTCGGATTGAGCAAAAGTTCCAACAAGAGGCGTTGGCTAAAGAGCTTAATGAAAAGATTACCCTCGTCAAGCAAGAGGCTGATAAAAAGCAATCTGATCTGGAGGCGAAGGTCAAGCGTCTCAATAAATTGGTCTCAGATAAGGATCTCAGCTTGATGGAGGCCCGAAATCAGCTTCAATCTGAAAAGATTATGCTACCAAGGGCAAGGATGATTTAGAGAGTGCAAGGGAGCAGCTAAAGACCTGAATCTACACCTAGGAGCAGTATGATGAGGGTTATGAAAATGGGTTCAAAATTGCTCGTCGCCTTGCGTTTCATGTTGAGCCGAATATTAATTAGGATGTAGCTGAAGAATGGTCTATGGACCTCAACCATCCAAACATGCGGCGCCCTCACCCCAATGAGCTTGCTTTGCTTGATCGGCTAGCCAAAAAAGAAGCCTTGGAAGAGGATGATGACGGTGAAGAGGAAGCTGGGCCTCAAGCTGATAAAGTTGCCAAGCCTACCTCGTCTGCTATTGCTGAAATTTCAAAGGCTCCTGATGCTGTTGTGGTAAATGCCGAAGCATAGGAATTCGAGCAGTCGTCTGCAGAATCTTGCAGATCTACAACTTCTTGAATGCTGAATTTCCGCTTCTACTCTTTTGCCTTGTTTGTTTCAGCTTGCCATCTGTACAAATAACTCTATTAGTTTTTGTTTGAGTTTGTACTTAGTTCGGCGGTTGTGTTTCCTCTTGTGGGCGGCTACCGATTTAGATTTTTCTTCAGTTTTTATTCTCCGTAATGTTACTTGTTATGCCTCGAATTATCCCAAGTGTAAAATTTCGGCTTGGGGGTTCAATGTTATCAACGACTAATTGTTTTTCTCAGCTTGTCTCCGTTTTTTGCCGAAATGCATCGTCTTTATATGTTGTTTGTTTGTTTTGAACTTTTCAACATTCTGCCAAGCATATAGCTCCGACTTGGAAATTTTTCTAGCTGAAAGTTTTCCTTGTCTAAGTCTTCATACTCAGATGTGCTGCCAAATTTTCAAAGTCTTTAGTTTCGGCTAATAGCTTGCTAGGTGTGCGCCTCTTTCCCTCCCAGAAATCTGTAGATAGCGTCTTCAGAATTCTTAGCTCGTTGCTTCAACTCTTTCAACATTTTTGCTCGCTTTTTATTCTCTGTCTGGCTTTAATTTATCTGAGGGCACGACTATTCGAAACACAGTGCCAAGGCAATGATCGTCCAAAGTACAAGGCATCACTTGTACTCTTTCAGACACTTCTTTTTGTTACCTTTTCCTGCAAATCAAAACCTAAGAATTTTGATCTTGATGCTGTGTCTATCTAGGAGGAAACGTCTCTTTTTAACAAGTTTGGTTAAGCCTAAATTGGTTCTACATTTAAAAAAAAAATTCAACTATAATGGGGTGGTGGCCACTTAGTACTACTAACTAAGCCTACTTAAAAGTAATTAAAACGAAAGACCTTTGATCCTAATACCGTGTTTAGACATAGGGACACAATTTTCTTACAGTGAATATGGTTTAGCTTAATTTTATCTTTTCAAATAATATCCCAATAGTTAACTCTTTTATTAATCGAATCTCCTGCAAATAAATCTACAATCAAACTATGTGTCGTATGTTTCTTGTACTCTATCAGACACTTTTGTTTCGACACCTCTTCCTTAAATTTTAACAATTTTCGTAAGAATGGAGACGAAGACCGATGCGAGAAATGTCCGAATTGAGGATTTCCTTCACAACAAATACACGTAAACTGTCTGTGTCGTATGTTTCTTGTACTCTGTCAGACACTTTTCTGTCGTCACCTTTTCATGTAAATTGAAATCTAAGAATTTTGAACTTGATGTTGTGTCTATCCAGGAGGACACGTTTCTTCATTAACAAATTTGGTTAAGCCTAAATTGGTTCTACATTTAAAAAAAATTCACTTATAATTGGGTAGTGGCCACTTAGTACTACTAACTAAGCCTACTTAAAAGTAATTAAAACAAAAGACCTTTGATCCTAATACAGTGTTTAGACATAAGGACACAATTTTCTTACAGTAAATATGGTTTAGCTTAATTTTATCTTTTCACATAATATCCCAATAGTAACTCTTTTATTAATCGAATCTTCTGCAAATAAATCTACAATCAAACTACTTGTTGTATGTTTTTTGTCCTTTGTTAGACACTTTTCTTTCAACTCCTCATCTTTAAATTTTAACAATTTTCGTGAGAATAGAGATGAAGCCCAATCTAAAAAATGACCGAATTAAGGATTTGCCTGAACAACAAATACACGTAATCTGGCCTAGGGGTAGTTGTCGAGGAATGCCCATCTGATGCTTAAGTTAGTGATATTTAGAGAAAAGTTTTGCAAGAGAATTAATTGCTTGAGGCTATGTGTGAATAAATGTAGAGTTGGCCATGTTATGGCTTTTATATCTCTTTTCAAAGGTGGATGATTGGGCCCATGAGGTTAAGATGGGTTGACCATCTTAAATGGGCTAGACCGGAACTTAGCATGTGCTTGGGGAGTTGAACCTTACTGTTGGGCTTTGCAATTGGATCATTTGGACTAGCCCAACCAGATTGACTAAATTGGACCCAAATAACTTGCCCACCATACCCAAACAAATGATTGCAATTTGAATTTGAAGGAATTTGGATCGTTTCAACGGTTAGAACCGTCATTAAGGAGAATAATTAGGGAGTTGAGAGGTTTAGTGGGTAGTTATTTTTAGGAGAACGTGTTTAAGAATAGTTTAGTAGGATTTTTTGGTGGTTTGTTAACCTAAACTTACGGATTTCATAAGCCCGTACTTAAGCATTCTTTCTGCCATTCAGTAATCACTTTTTTTCAATCACAACCTTTGAAATCGCGATTCAACTTCCCCAACTCTGAATATCCATCTTAACTTACTGAAAATCCGAGTTTTGCTTTATAATCCGAGACTCGGGAGTTAAATATCGGCGAATTCCGAGCTAGGTAAAGGTAATTTCTCTCGAAATTTTTTCGGATTCCATTAGTTTTCTGCAATTTCTATTCCGGTTCGATATTTTTTCGGAACAATGGTTCGAGACTTGGATTTGGGCAAAAGGACCGTTGCTTCTGAAGAAGAGGAAGCTGAGGTGTCTCAAGTTCCACCTCTAGGTGGTCGGCGCAATCAGCCACTTGGGCGGATGCCACCTCTTAGCCACGTCGATACGCTTCCCAGAATGGAGGAGAGGGAACCGACAGGTGAATCTCCGATTCCAGCTGTACCCTTGGCCTCTGTGCCGTACAGGGAGTGGTAAGAGCCTACTACCTCTGGAAGTGGCTCTACACATGGGCCTCAGCGTCTGCCGGAGGGTGCCGAAGAATGGGACAGCCCTACTGAGAATTTGGGGATTGTGTCTGTTGCCCCGTACAAGTGGTGGATTGCGGAGAGCGTTCGGCATCGTTTCGCCGAGCAAATCGAAATTTTCTATGGTATTTATGAAGAGGATGGGTACTGGTGTCAAATGCCAGTTTCCGAAGATAGAATCCACAAACCTCCGCCCGGGTATACTGGAGTATACACCAGGCAACTGCAGTCTGGGCTGAGATTTCCTCTCCACCCCTTTGTGACCGAAGTTTTGAATGCATACGACATCTCGTTGTGCCAGCTAACCCCGGTCAGCATTCGAAAGGTTATAACATTCTTGTGGGTTGCCCTTTTTTTTGGGTTTAACCCTAGCATTCACGTGTTTCCACGATTACACAATCTGGTACAGAACAAACAATCTAATGAACAACACGGTCCTGGATGGTGGCGAATCTAATCCTGAAGAGGGATTTTGACCACTTGGTCGAATGACACCTCCAACAAAGATTGGAGGGGTTAGTGGATTTGGGTGAGGGCTCCGTATGAAGAAAATCATCCAAACCATTTTGGGGGGCCTAGCCATTTGAGATGGCCTGACAAAAAGATGTCTGCTATCGGTCCTGATGAATTCTGGGCCGAAGATATGCAACTGCTAAAGCTCTTTGACAAAGTGAAAACGGGAAGACGAGGCTGAGAATTTCATATGCCGAAGACTTGGCTATCCTGCTACCATTATATCTTCCAGGAGAAGATATTAGCTGTTGTCGGCCTTAGCCGAAAGTACCAAGGCGGTAAGAATCTCAGTTGGGACCGAAAACTCGTACTTGTCTTTTTGTTGTTACTGTTTTTTTTCCTCTTTTTTTTGACACTTTGCTATTTGAGTTTTCACTACTGCATGAGACAAACTGCGGCCTGAACTATAGACAGTTGGGAATCACCGCCGAGAGAAAAGTGACGAAGAGAAATCCTCAGATCACTCCACCTTCTGAGAGAGCCCCTTCGTTGCGCGTGTCTCATCTTGACATAGTCAGTAAAACTGAATACTCCAAGCAGAAGCCTTGGTACTTGAAGCGTGACCCATTTTTCCCTTTGGGTCCTGAAGAGCAAGTTGTTGTTGCTGCTGCTGCTCTGAAAGCCGGCGTTTCTATGGCTAGCCCCGAGATCGAAAACAAGATCAACTCCGAAAAGGAAAACTTGCTGAAAACTTCGGTAAGCATGAGTATGTTGTTTCGGCTTGTGTATGAATGTTACATGTAGCTTTCCTAACTTGTAAAAACTTTGTTAAGTATAGAATTTCGGGTGCATGTTGTTTTCTGTCTGCTCAGCCTGTGAGAACTTAAACATCTGTATGATGCTTCGGCTATGTGCCCTTTTATGTATACAATTATTTTTTTGTTTTTGCTTGGTCCATGCTGATACATACTTTTTCCTCCCCTTTTACTTCTATTGCAGGCTGACGAATCTTCGTCTGATCCTTCTTTTTCTGACGAAGAAGACGAAAAAATGGCTAGGAAGAGAAAGACCAGGGCCGTTGTCAATCCGGGTCAAATTCCCTTAGAGGAGTACTCTCCATCGCCGAAACGGTTTCGGCAAGACGAAGTTTCGGCCGAAATTATCAGGGAGAAAACTCTAGTTCCTTATGCTGCTCGGGACCAAGAGGAAGACGATCAGCAGAAAATTCTTTCTCCTAATGCCTTGTCTTCCTCAACGCTGATGCCTTCATCATACATGTTGAGGACGACAATGTATTTATTCTAGAAGATAGGCCGGAAGGTTTCAAGGAAGCCGAAGAGCGTGCCGAGGAGTCTCAACAGGTAGATGTGCATTATGCTTCTGCTGCAAACTCGATCAAGACCTTTCGGTCTAATGAGATGGGGTTTGAGTCTGCCCCGCTTGTGATTGTCCCTAATGCTGTGAGGGACAGTTTGATGGAGAGCCGGAACTCGGCCGTTGAATTTTTTGGGGATTTATCTGGCCACTTCGAGCTAGAGAAAGCCAAGATCTAGTCAACCTAGGCTGCCGCTGGAGCGTTCGAACCATTTGTAAGAGTGCCAGACCCCATTGCCAATAATTTTAAACTATTGATGCAGGTAACTTGCTCTGACCGCTTTTGTTCAAATTTTTCCTGTATTTTCTTTCGGCCATCTTTTTTAAGTCTTTTCTATTAGTTGACTTTGTTTAAAAAGGAAAAAAAAGAAAGTGAACTTCAAAGGAAACAAAGAGCAACGAGAAAGAAAATAATTGTTTAATGTTCGAATGTTCTAAGTGAAGGTTGTTCAAAAGAGAAAAATTAAGTTTCAAGTAAAAGGAAAAAAAATCAAGTGTTAAAGAGTTCAAAGTTTGTTTGATTCGCTCAAGTTCTTAATAATTATATTTTTATGAGCGAGATTGTAAGTGTTGGGAAATTTTGATGTAATTGAATGTTTGGTGAATTTTTGTGAAGTTGAGACGAGTTTGTGTTGGAGATGATTGGTCATTATTTATTTTTGACCTTGGCCTTATTAGGATTGGCTCCCTAAAGCATGGCTTTACTCTCACATTTTCCCAAATTTATCCTACCTTGTACCCTAGCCTTACGTTACAAGCTTTGAAAACCTTCCGACTTTTGTGCATATAGTTGTATGAATGTTAAATTAGTTGTTTATCAATGCAAAGAATGATTTGATATATTCCGAGTCTACTATTAGGTTGAGTGCATGTTTTCTTAAACACACGAGTGTTGTGAGTTTGGGGGGCATTGTTCACATTAAAGGGGTTGGATGGAGAGCGATCGGACACATTTTATATCCGCCACATAAAAGAGTGAAGAATGCGTGAGCACTAGTCTTAAATTCCATATACGTTTGTGGTTTGCCCTATTTGACAATTGTTAGGGAGGATGAGTAGTTGGATGGATTTGATTGGTTGACTTTGATGCATATTTATTAGATTTGCTTTGAATTGGTTTTTCTTGGTGTTAATTGATTTTTGGGGTGAAGTATGTTTTATTTGTTCATTGATGAGCTCTTTGCTTAAGGACAAGCAAAGGTTTGGCTTGGGGGACTTTGATATGTTCATTTTATATAGAGATTTACCCCGTCACTTGGTCATATTTAGGAGTATTTTTGACTCTTTGAAGCCACTTTTGTTACTAATATGCGTTTTCTAGTGTTCTCGTAGTCTTGGTATTACTTTATAGGAAATTGCGAATTTTGAGCATTTTCGCGGACTTATTGGAGCCACTACGAGCATCGGAGCAGGAGCGCATTCATATGACCATTTTCCGTAGCCCATGGCCGGTTAGAGTTATCAAACTGGTGATTGAAGGGCTCGGCGAAGAAGAGTTCAGGCAATTAATGGACCGTGTTTCAAGGCCCCAAAGAGGAAATCCGAATTGGGCCAAGTTTATGGCCCAATCGAAGATCCATGGTTGCTCGAAGAGCTCGCCCAACCGGGTAGGCTCTCGCCCTGAGGCGCGCCCGGCCAGGCGAGGTAGAAGGAAGAAAAGCACTCGTCACCCTAAGGCGCGCCCGACCGGGCGCGAGCGAAGAAGTCTCCAGCAAAAAGGCGCTCTCGACCGGGCGCGTGTTTAGAGGGGTGATTAACGACTCTTTTACTTCGTTAGTCTTAGGATTTTTAGCTTTAGTACAATTACGTTTTGTTAAGCGAGATTTTATGGGGGGACGTCATTTATTAGTTAAATTCTCAGATTTTAGTTTTAAGCTTTTGGTTAATATTCTTTTCTCTCTCTACACTTTTAGTTTATGCAATTCATTATTTCCGTTTATTTTGGTAAACGATTTCTTCCCCTTTTATTTTCAGTAATTTAATTGCTTTGATTAATTAGGTCTTGTTTATTTGCTTTGCTTAGTTTAGATTTAAATATGTGTGAGTAGTTTTATTTCTAGGGTTGTGGGGATCCATAAATAATATGAAGGGGTAATTTATTATTGTTGATTGTCAATGCTTTGGTTGATTTCCTATTGATTGATTTAATGCTATGCAATTAGATTAGGCATGATTTAATTATATGAGTTATGCGATATTGATTCGAGATTCCAGAGATGAGAATTGATATTTATGCTTAGTTTCAATAAGTAGGTTAATTTATAAATGAATAAGTCAAGACTCGAGAGATGCGATTTAATACCGGTAAATTAATTATGTGATTGTAATACGTAGCGAAAGTCCTTTATGATCTGATTAATTGATGCATTGATAATTAATTATTGTGTTTTACCCTGGAATACTATTTATTGGTGAACCTATACCCTAGGCTTTGATTTATTGATTTCTCCCTAGTTTAATTTTCTTTAGCTTAATTATTCTCCTTAGTTTAATTCCCCTAAAAATAATTTGGTTACTTAATAGTTTAGATTATATTAATTAATTAGGAATAGGAAGACTTGTTTCCCTATATATTCGACCCTACTTCCCTATTTGCTTTAGGTAGAGGACCTAGGTAATTCTTTTGATTAGGAGATATGACTAGAACCTGTCACACACCACCCACGACACCCCTTCCCAATGCCCAGCCCCCTTTCCCCTACCAAGAAGCGTTGCCCCGACGCCTAATCCTAAACCACTCTAGATTAAACCCGCTTTAGGTTCCGATCTAGGACATTGGGTTTCGTACGCCGGCTAGGTTAGGGTTTCGAGGGTGGTGGATATTCGAGTTTCGTACGGTGGCTGGGTTGGGGTTTAGAGGGTGGTGGCTGGGTTAGGGTTTCGAGGGTGGTGGCTAACGGTCGGTGGATCGGAGGCTGGATAGGGTGACAGTGGATTTGGTGGCTGGGGAGGGGATAAGGTGATGGGGGTGGCTGGTCAGTTGGTTGGGATAAGGGTGAAGGTGGTGGTGGCCGGGTTGGTGATTAGGGGTGGTTTTTTTTTTATTAATTTAATTTTATATAAAATAATTTTTAAATTAAAAAACCTAAGGTTAACCATTTTAATGATAAAGGTTAGCCGTAAAACCTTAAAAAGGGGCATTATGCTTAATTTTTTCAAAACTAGGGTGCCACTCAATCAAATTGGAAAAAAGTGTGTCTTCCACATAGAATTTTTTATTATAGGGCCACATGTAGAATTTCCCTTTAATTAGGTCATTATATTTACCTCTACCTAATGCTCCACATAATCAATTAACCTAATTTTGCAGGTCGTTTTTTGTAAAGGAATAAAAGTTAATCTATTACAAGGTTGACGTGTTCAGGATTAATCAAACGGTTGACATAATAAAAGCGGACGACAAAAATATTGGCTTAATATTTACAAAACTATCAAATTATAACTAAAATCAAGTCGATAAAAGGATTATATTATTATTGGAAAAAGATTTATTATCGGAATAAAAGGATATTTATAAAAAGGAGAGAATTATTTGGGCTCAAAAGGCTGGAATGAATTGGAGGAAATATGATGATATGAATACAAAATATTGCCATATTGTTAACAAAAAAAATAAAAAAAATAAAAAAAAATATAAAATATAAAAAAATAAAAAAAAGTGGAGGGAATATTTCTTGTTTACAAGATTATGAAAATAATTAAATTACAGATGATATCAAAAATATAATTCAGAATAGGGGGGTTCTGGTTCGTTTTTTCCTAACAATAAGCTTTCGGTTTCTAATAATATTTATCTAGCCAATTTTAAGCCTAATTTTGAGGAGGTTAAAAATTGTTTTTAGCATGGAGCCTATGAAATGCCTTGGTTTGAATGGTTTGCAACTTAGGTGTTTTCAAGCTTACTGGGATTTTCTAGGTCATGTTTTACATAAGTTTTGTGAAGATAGTTTTGTAGATAGTACCTTTAATCCAGAGATTAATAACTCTTATATTTCCTTAATTCCAAAATTAGATAATCCTATTAAACTTTCTAAGTTAGGCCAATAGGATTGTGCAATACCATATCCAAGTTTGTTACTAAGCTAATCTCCTCTAAGCTTCGTTCTTAGCTTAATCTAAGGTAAAGGAATTGAAGACAATGTTATTGTTGTTATAATTAATTAAAGAGATGGCTCATATTTTTAATAAAGCAAAGAAAGGTAAAAACATCATGGCATTAAAACTTGATTTGTCTAAGGCCTTGACAGCTTAGAATGGAATTTTATTAAGGAAACCCTTATTGGTTCGCGGGTTTTAACTCCCTTCAAATTTTCTCAAACTAATCATGCATTTGCATTACTACACCACAAATATAATATCGGTTTTATGGAATGGTGAGATAACTTCAGAATTTAAGCCAACAAAGGGTATAAGTCAGGGTAACCCAATGTCATCCTATATATTTGTGTTGTCTCTTGAGCGTTTTTCGCTAAAGATCGAAGAGAAAGTTAATCAAAAAACTTTGGAAACCAATTGAGGTAACTCAATCAATTCATCTTTCTCATATTTTCTATGTTGATGATGTTGTTCTGTTTGGTCATGCTTCAAAATCTAATATCAAAATCATAACGGATGTTTTATATGATTTTAGGAATATATCGATGTTGCGGGTTAATTAGAATAAATTTACTATTATTTTTCCAAAAAGATGTGTCATAATATTCGAAAAGATCTAATATAAGAATTTAGTTTCTCCTCCACAATTCATTTGGCAAATAAAAAGAGCGACTATTTTGGTTTTCTTGATAAAACTTTTGATAGGATTAAGGGATGACAATCTAATTAAGTTGCTTAATATGGCTGGAATATGCACACTTTAAATTGATTTTATCTTCTTTTCCAGTTGATGCAAACTAGCCTTCTTTCTTTTTCAAATTGTGATGATATAGAAAAGCAATGTCGAAAATTCCTTTGGAATAAAGTGAATAAATCAAAATATTCATCGAGACTAAGTTGGAAGCATATTACAAAGACTATGGAAATTGGAGGTTTAAGGATTAGAAGGTTTAAATTCCGGAATTTAGCATTTATGTAGCAACTAGGGTGGACTATTCTTACTAACCCATCCAAACTTTGGGTTAGAATTTTTAATGAAAAATACTTAAATAATAGTGCTTTTTTTTATTATAATGTTAATGCCTCTCAATCTCAAATTTGGAAGAATATTTTAAAAGGAAGACATTTATTAGCTTTGGGTTTAAGAATTGGTATTGGCAATGGTAAGACTAATCTACTTCCCTTTGATACCACCATTAGGTTGGCAATGCTCCCTTGTACTCTCTCATGCATGCTCAAGTTCCTAACTCTAAGGGTCATTGGAATGTTGCAAATATTATTAGAAATGGTTCTTGGTATTTGAAGGATGTTGAGCATCTTACCATCATATATAGTCACGATGATCAAAGCTAATGCTTTATCTAAAATACATGACATGGAGGATTTTTTGACTTGGGATCTTA